TTTCACTTTAATTTCGCAATAATTAAACAAATTATTCTGTCCCTAATATTAAAATATCTTTAACATAGGCTACATTGATGAACAGATGAACAGATGGCTTCAACTGGACCAGTGTCTTAACTGAAATATAAGTTACGTAATACCACTCAACATGACAATATGAAAATCGGACAATCCAACATCTAATGTTACAGAATAAATCGTCAAATTAAACATAAATGTGAGCGGCACCTTGAAAAAAAGAATCGTGTAATTTTCATTATTGACAGTTTCATAACTAGGCATGTTTTTTTTTTTGCTTTACTTTATTATTAATCGAGCTAAAGAAAAAATGACGGTTAATGTTAAATTCATTAGCTATTTCCTGCTGCCCATAACAGTTCTGAAGGTGCCAATTTATGATATGCTAACCTTAAATGCACGATTGTGCAGCCCGCAGTGTTATATTATACCCAAACCATGTTGGAAAGAAATAAACAGTCAATTTGCTTGTTATTTTTCCGGTTATTTTGTCCTAATCAAACTACAGTCATTCACTATCTTCCTTAACATTACACTAAAAATATCATTCCACCATGGAAGTGCAGGGAGTGAAGGCTTTGAATAAAAACCTTTCAAAAGACTTCAATTAATTACTTACTTTTAGCTTTTCAATGCATTTATAGTTATTTAAGATTAAACATCGGTGTGATAACTTGTACACTGAATTCCTGAAACGTAAATTAACGGTAGACTCTGAAATGCTAGCATGAAGGTTCGGAAACAAGCTAATTCACGTTGACGAACACATCTAATTTATAAAACTTTTTCAGGTTTCAAAATGACTTTAAACGGTAAATCTTCTTACCTTTGTCATGCTGAAGGTGGATAACTGAAGTGAAGTCAGTTGCTGGTCCGTTTGACTTTGTCCGCGTCGAAGAATCTTCTTGCTAGCTGGTTGTGTTTTTCGTGGCTTCTCTCTTTGAGTGCAGGGGTGAAATGACGAACTTGATCTCTCCGTCTAATATTTATTTGCTGCACATAGCAACCATGGAATCCCAACGTCGTTACGTCATCAATGTTTGTATTTAATGTTTATTTGTATTTATTCAGTATTTGCTTTATCCACTTTCATTTCGCAATAATTTCACAAATTATTATTTTCCTAATATTAAAATATTTTTTAACATAGGCTACTTATTGCATATCGTTACATTTACTTTATTTTAGTGTAGTGGCTGCGTTATTTCTTTCCCGACAAATACAATTTATTGGTCTGTCAGCCCATTTGATTAGGTGGCAGCTTAATGGAAATCCAAGGGCGCCATCTTGTGGACATATCCAGCTAGCTGACAACTGTTAGCTGTAACGTTAGTTCTGCCATCATGGTCAAATATAAGGTAATTAAGCCATATTTCGGATAATCACGCGCTAACTGTCTCATGTCGTGAGCTGAGCACATTTTAATTAAAATGCGTCACTTATCTGACAGTTGCGGTAACAGTTAAAATGTCCTATTAGGCAATACTTTCTGGGATAAACCACGTGTGTCGTACTGTGTAGGCCTATTGTTATAGCCTAATCATTTTGATATCACTTTTCTTTCAAAATGTTGTGTCAAGGCGCTTTTCCCCACATACTACTATAAAAAGACACATTTAAAGAATTGTCATTACTGCAACAGCAACACTACCATGTTATGTTATGTTATGTTATAGTATATATATTAGGCCTATATTATATTATAGCCTATACTACCTGAACAGAGACTTTGACTTGATGACAGCTTAAAGTTATTTGAGACATATATTTATTATTATTTATATATATTGGATAAGATAAACTGTATCATTTAAGAACATTGAATGATAAAGTGTTTTTTTTTGTACAAAATAGTCAATTCTAATTAGCCAGCTTAGCTTCATTATCTTTACCATAATAGGGCATTTGATAGAGCATGTAGTTAAAAAATATTTGACCTTTATTAGACTTGTAACAACTAATGTAGCACACAGTAGTGTTTATAAGTAATGTACGTGGGTCCATGTTATGTTCACAAACCTTCATTTGGTTTTCACTAAGTAGGCTAGTGGTTTAAATATGAATGTGAGCTGTAACAGCATAAACTACAACATTATGTCACCCTCTGGTGATTGCTCCAGACATCTGAGAAGAGACTAGATTGAGTCTGTTTCTAGTGCTGCAGTCAATTGCAGAATGCTTATTAAAAAACAGACATATCTGTTATTGTCTCATGACTGAAATAAAGTAGGCTAAAGGGCTTAACATATTCTACAAACAGTTTTGGATGTTTCCACACAGTGAACCTCATGGCTGATGAATGAAAGGCTCTATTGGAATAACAAGGCTGCCCTCTGACAGACAACCTATACACCTATACCTATACAACCATGTCAATTCAGTCCTTACAGTATAAGGATGTAAGCAAATTTAAAAACCTGCAAGAATTTATTCTTTGGCCACACGGGGGCAGCAAAAGCATCCATCAATCTCCCACGTAAGCCAGTGGATAGCTGACTATGTGACCTTTGATAGCCAGTCACAACAGCTGTTCTTGTGTTACTGCTGAGTGGGACAATAAAAATAAGTCTTGGTGAAATGTGGTAGCTGTGTCACTTTTCACACAGTGAACCTCATGGCTGACAAATGAAAGGCTCTATTGGAATCATAAGGCTGCTCTTTTGTCAGATATTTTGCAACCATCTCATGCCTTTGAGTTTGCCAAAAGGTTGTAGACTCAGCAGAGTAAAAACCTGCAGGAATTAATTCTTTGGCCACTTGGGGGCAGCAAAAGTCAGACTGTATCAACCACACTGGCTGATCATAAAGTTCATATGGCATATTGATATATAACAGCAGCTGTAGGAGTAAATGGAGAAAAGACCAAGTGATTGATTTGCTTTTAATCATAAACAACATTATTACATCTTTCAATACCATTAATTTAAATAATTTTGTACATTTTGATAGGCTGTCTATATGTTGACTAGTGATTCATATAGTATCCAGTCATAAGTGTAGTTGAACGCTGAATACCATGAATCAACTAAAGAGATGTATACAGTATGTGAAAGACTGCAAAATAGGCTTCATGTTTCAAATGATTTTGTTTGTTTGTTTTGTTTTTGCATTTACCTGAATTTAACATTCTTTATAGTGTGCTTTTACTTTACAGTATTTAACAGTATTATTTTATGTATAGATGTAGGCCTACAGTTTATTACAGGCTACTGTGTTGCATTACTTTACTGTTTTTACTGTATTTCTATAATATCATGCTGCTAAAGTAATGTGCTGTGACTTTTTACTGTGAAGTCACAGTTTTTAAAGGGCTGTTATACTACTATATCGCTGTAATATGATCAATCAATCAATCAATCAATCACTTTATTTATAGAGCACTTTTCATACATAAAATGTATCACAAAGTGCTGTACATTACAGAACACAAGCAGGAAAGGATCAGGGGGTACAAAATAAAATACAAAATGAAATACAAAACCCCACCCAATCACCCCCCCCCCCCCACACACACACACACACACACACACACACAGGGACACCAAGTCAGGACACAGCTGACTTTGAAGTCACACTATAAAGCTGTCATTTTACTTTAAATTACCATCAAAATCTCACAGTAACTAATGTAAAAGTAATGCAACTAATAGTCAGTAACAATGTAATCTGACAGTCAAATATTTGACAGTATACATACAAAACAGCACAAAACATAATAACGATACAATAAAACTACCATACTTGACAAGCACCATCATTCATGACTACATGACTGATCTCTGTTTAAAAGCTGTTTCAACAACATTAAAAAGTATGATCCATAATAAATCTGACATGTTGTTTCCTCAGGGGAGGGGGAGGATTAAGGCTCCTTATAGATGCACCCTGAGGTACTGAGCCGGAAACCCTTAGCAGGAAACACTATGTCAGCACCTTGGGGGCCTGTTTTTTTTTTGTTTTGTTTTTTTTTACACTTAATGGCTATGTTTAATATTATCTAATATAATAACATTTGTCATAAATATGGCTGCTGAGAGTTTATCAGCTTCCTATGCAAAATTCTAATTGCATGGTAGTTTATCATCTTAAGAGGCTTGATTGTTGTAGAGGCTGCTTGTGACTAAGAAGTCATAAAATAGCTTAAATGTGAAAAGATCACGGAATGCATGAAACTATTCACAGTATAAGGAGTTTAAATGTATGTAAGTTTGCTTTTACAACCTTTCTTATCACATTTACTCAAAAGTAAAGTGTGAATATAACATAAGATCAAGTTTCCAAACCTGTTCAATACATTGCAACTTAATCCCTAATTTATGCTTTTTACTTTTGACAAGGGCTGAGAAGAAAAGCAAACATCTAGTGACACTACTACTATTATCGTTACATCTGCACTGAGACCTCCCTGAAGCCTCACATGGAAATGAGCCCTTATCAGGTTATCGTTCAGTGTCAAAGATTTGCAGGAGGTCTATGTTTGAATCCACTTCAAACCACTTCTGGTTTCTGTAGAGCTCAGAAACCACATTATACAAGCAAACAAACAAACAAATGAAGCACATTATGACAGCAAAATGAAATCAGTATGATGTTTATTAAACACAAACCAAGATAGGATCTTTCTGCAGCATGTGTGACTCAGCCCCTGTATGCTACAGGAATCAATACAACTTAATCCTCAAACCTGTCAAACCTCATCATGTGTAGTATTTATGCCAACAGCTTCATCCACTTGCCCCCGAGCACATGAGAAAATAAACATATAATTCTCACCCTACCTCCCCTGCTCTCTCTCTCTCTCTCTCTCTCTCTCTCTCTCTCTCTCTCTCTCTCTCTCTCTCTGTCAGTGTGATCAATTTTTCGACTTCCTCCTTTTGGAGTGGCTGGGCTGAATACCAGAACACAGGATATGCTTCGCAGTGCTCTCAGTTTCATAGCAGCAGCAGCAGCAGCAGCAGCAGCCGTAAGGACGGACGACACACTCTGCAGTCAAGATGAGTGCTGGGGATGTGGTCTGCACAGGCTGGCTCATTAAATCTCCCCCGGAGAAGAAACTTAAGAGATTTGTGAGTAGGAGTACACACCGGACACTTGTTTATGTCCTCTGCCAGCAGTAGGATGCCAGGTTGTGTTGTAGAGCCTTGTGTATGTGTGTGTGTGTGTGTGTGTGTGTGTGTGTCTCACGGTGTGGAATGATGATTTAGAAACATACAGTACTGTGGGTTTGTATGCTTTTGTTAAACTGAGCCGTAATTCAGTCTCCTTTATATCATCTTCCTCATTTGTATAATAACACCTCACTCTTGTGTTGTGGCTTGTGGATGCACTTCATAGCTACAACAGCTATTATTTATGACAATAACAATATGTCACAAACTGCAGATGTACCTCAGGCAGACATAGATTCCTAAAGCAAGTATATGTTATTGCTTACATGGACAGCAGTGTTTTGTGGTTGTTGGGAGTCATGTGATGACGCTGGGCTGGCCACTCACTCTGCTCTGTGTATATGTGTTTGTGTGATGAGCGCGTGCATTGTGAAACATGGGAAGTAATGTGAGCAGCAGTCAGACAGACTAAAGTGACAAGCAGAAATAGTCTAGCTTTATGATGGCTGTTTGCACTTCCTCTGTACGAACAGAGGAGGTGGAGGGCTAGTTGTCAACACCAGTGCAGGGAAAGGGTGGGTGGAGGCGTGCATTGATGGGGTTTGGAGCGGGAAATAGAAACTTATTATGGCACACTATGCAAATCCTGTTGATACCAGAGAATAAAGTAAATACATGTTTATCAGTGTTGTAAGGTCAGGCTCACTATCTGACTATCTGAGTATTCAAATGTCAAGCATGAAAATTTTAATTATCATGGTCAAATTTATCTCGCTCTGTGGTGTCCTCACATGAAATGAAAATGTTCAGACAGCAGCAAGCATAAAGAAAACAATGTCCAATGCTGTAGTGTTGTTCACAAAGTTGTTTGTTTAGTTGCTGGATGTAGCTGAAGCTTCTTGGTTTGACATTGGCACCTTGTACAGAAACAGAAGTGTTCTTTTGTTGTCTCGCTTTCTGTCAGCGGTGCATTTCCACTTTCTGCCACGATAAATGTGCATTTAATGGTTGTCTGCTGCGTCCAGTGCACGACACTGTGTGGTGAAGTTGGCCCTTACCCACAAGAGCTTGTTTTTTTTGTTTTTTTTATAGAGACCTACATGCATTATGGCCATGTATTTTGAGTGCTACCTTTGAGGACATATATTTTATTATCAAAACCCTCATTATTTTCACAGAATTGAAAAAAATGAATAATTTCCACTCCTCAAGGTCACACAGTAAAATGAATATATTGTAAGAGAAACTATTGCAAATCTTAGAAATTAGTTAGATGTATATAGACATCTACTGTATTATACTACGCAGTGTTGATACAGTCATTTTAAGGCTTTTGAGAATAGATATTGGCAACATTATAACATACATGTGCATGACCTTTTTCACTGAAAACACCTGAACATATCAGCACAGGTGTGAATAATATAATCAATAGCCACTGAATTCAATTTAGCTCCTTCATTTTCAGGGTCCTGTTATTCATTCTGGCTCACTGTCAGGGCACGGTCACATGAGGGAAATTAACACTGACGAATATTCACTTCCCATTTACTTTCATTCATTGCCAGTACTGTTGCAAATAAAACATCCGCTTCTAATGGCAAAGCCAACAAGAAAGATGCTGCCTGGCTTCCAGAAAGTCGGGTGACAGGCACGGAATGTAAGAAAATGAAAAATGTACCAATACCATCATATTTCACTGTATTTATTAGCAAGCTAGCTAACAAGAGCTAGCTAGTCCATCTGTGATGGACATCACATCGGGCACTGCCTACAATCAGCATGAATATGGCCTTGGCAGGTGATAGTCATTTGTGACATTCCCTCACGCTGCCATGGCTTCATGGGACACTTGAATAGAACAGAGCCATTATTAATGTTATTAGTAATGTGGTCTTACTGTGACAAGTCAAGATGTCTGCTGTGAAGACAGTCTTTTATGTTTTAGAGTTTTATGAAAATAAATTTTTGCTTGAGTGTCTATATCTGTACTAAATTTTTGCCCCACCACAGCAAAAAGAAAAGAAGAAAAAAAACCCTAACTCAAAGTCCAATTACCAGCATTTTCCAGATTTTTCATCACATTACATGGTCTTCCTTGTTCCTTGTTTTAATTTTATATACTTTATTAATCCCCGAGGGGAAATTAAATTTTTTCACTCTGTTGTCAATTACACAAAGGTCTGAACACACACATGCACAAACAGGACCTATACATGCACTAGGTGGAGAGATGTCAAAGTGGGGCTGCCCATGACAGGCGTTTCGAGCGGCTGGGGGGTTCGGTGACTTGCTCAAGGGCACCTCGGCCCAGGAGGTGAACTGGCACCTCTCCAGCCACCAGTCCACGCTCCATATTAATAATAATAATAATAATAATAATAATGACTAAGCAAACTCCATCTGCTGAGGAAGACCAGTAGTAGTAAACTAGTAACACAACCATGAGTTAAGATTGTTTTTTCTTCAAACTTCAGCTTGAAGCTTCAGCTTTTTTTTGTTTTGTGATTTCTTTGTTAGCCATGGTCTTGTATTAAACATACATCATATCCACAGTTGGGGGAAATAAGGGCTTTAGCCTGCAGGTAACATAAGGACAAGACTGGAAGTTCACTTTAATGAAAACAGCGAAACCCTGTCCTCACCTGGTTTCTATTTTCTGAAAGAGCAAAGTAAAAAAAAGGGGATCCACTTCTTCACTCATCAGCACCTATACACAAAACAACTTATTTTTCAAAGCTAAAACTTTCCATATTCAATAACCATCTGTCTAGTTACGGTTTCCTCTTAAACTTGGCAGTCTTATTGGCGGTACGTGTGGCATGTCTAACCATTTCCTGGTATAAACACACATAAATTACCAACTGACTTGTGCAGAAGCGGATTACCCACATGTAGGGGGGGAAAAAAGCGTTTTAAGTTCACACCACATAAATATCAGGCGAGGCTCCACCTTCACAAGGAACATAAAGCCACAAAACCAAGTGTGAAAACGATATCTCTACATCCAACATTACTATTCATATGATGTGTTTTATTCATTGCAATTTCTAAATATGAAATATGACACCCACACAACTGGTATGACGACTGGCACCCACTGAGGGCTCAGGCGCTAGTAGATCTGTGGTGGTATAAATACCTTTTAACAGTTTTAGTATGAAGTTTTCAGTAAGTCCTCAGTACAAAGCAGTGACCAAGTACTGTATATATACCTCTTTCGTTGTGTTAGACATTTTCTGCTAAATACAGTGAACTTCCTCTTCTCTGTACTTCTGGGAAATTCGAGTTGAGGTTCCGCTTACTGACCATATCAAAAGCAAAAAAAGGAGCTAAAGTTGCAAAGTTAGCTGTTGTGAGCAGGAGCTGTGATCTAATTCCCATGACTGGTCATGACTAATAAAATGGTGGTGATGGGGAAGAGGGAGACATTACTTTTAACATGATGTGGTACTGTGAATAATATTACAAAGTAAAGGATGAAGTTAACCTTGAGATTAACTCCATGATGAACTATTGGCTCTTTTTCTCCTGCAGGCATGGAGGAAACGCTGGTTTGTGCTTCGAAGAGGTCGCATGAGCGGCAATCCTGATGTGCTGGAGTACTATCAAAGCAAGAACTCCAAAAAGCCAATCCGCACCATCGACCTGAAAGAGTGCGAGGTGGAAATGCTCAACGGGCAGCTTAGGATAAAGCGAGACTTCCATGGGAAGCACCTCTTTGTGGTAAAGACCTCATCTCGTGTTTTTTACCTGGTGGCCAAAACTGAGGAGGAGATGAACAGCTGGATCAGTAGCATCAGTCAAATCTGCCAGTTTGGGAGCCTGGAGGACGCAGGTAAATACACATTACTATTCAGTTGTGTTAAAGCTGCACTTGGCAAGAATTTTGAAACATACCTGTCTCATTAATAATCACAAAGTGATGGTATATAACAGATCATCCCAATCATAAGCTGTATTTTAATAGATTCACCCTGCTGGTCCAGAGAAATTGGTGTCATTTAACCCCAAACAGGAAGTGGTGGACTGAAAATCAAACTTTAGAATGAGGTCAGAACAAACTGTTTATTTGGTCCTGTGTGATTCACAGACTAGTTAGTGTTCAAACATACGGGTGCAGACAACTCACATAATATTTCAACACAAAAGTCCCAGAATTTCAAATTGTTCATTGTATCCTCATACAACCGTACGTATGATATCCTACAAATTAGTTACAGAGATAAGGTTTAGACAAATAAGTTACTGTGGTTAGGTTAAGGAAAATAAACAACGTACCTTAACGTGACTCAAAGTTCACACAAATTTGACACGCTTCTGAAAACTGGTCTCCTGGGGAAAGTCCCTTGTTTTGTGACCCATACAGCACCCCAATCTGCCTTCTTAAGGGGGCCACTTCCTTCTTCACTCTCATCAGCGCATTGTTTGCCGCCATCCCAGCACTTGGGTTATACACAGACTACTGGCTCGTGATCACATGGGGTATGTGCAAATTTCGGTGCATTATTTTCCATAGGGAAACGTACAAACAGTGCATAAGAACAGCCTGAATTGTTATAACGTGCATCTACAGTGAAGCTTTTACTGAGAAAGTGTAAATCTGCCACACATGTTGATTACTACACACTCATGCATGCTTTGCCAAACCTAAAGAACAGTATTTAAAATTTTAGTGACTAGAGATTCTGAATATACCATTTTCAAGCAAAATTTGGAATACTGCCATGGTATCCTTGGTTTGAGTAATTTGCATTATCTAAGCAAAGTGGTAGAGCATTGAATGTTTTTCTACGTTCAAAAACACCTGAGGGCAAATTTTATGGGAAAATCAAGATTTGAAGAGTTCTTGTATCATCTGTCCCTTAGTGATCCCTGCTTGTGGTCGCAGTGATCAACTCCAAAAACACTGAATCAACTGAAAAATCTAAAACCTAACAGCAGTTTCAGCGTAGTGTGTTTTGATACAGAGGTGGTGTCTCAGATAAGCTTCTCTATAAGTGAGCTCCTAAACCCACACAGTGTCACATCGTCACGTTGTGGTTAAAACCATTTGATACCAATCATATCTGGTTTTCTTGCTACAGCAGGAGCAGCAGCAACAACAACAACAACAACAACAAGTGAATGTTGCGTTATTTTTTAAAATGTAAACATAGAGTATAGTTATATTTTAATGACAGTTATTTTTCACACAGTGCTACTGAAATGGAAATGAATTTGATGATTACTGCACCAGTCAAGCAATGCTTTAATGACTGGAGGACAAAACATGACCACATATATTATCATACATCAGTGTTGACTGTGTACACAAGATGTTTCCAACAGTTCGAAATGTTGCAGCTGTATTAGACCAGAAAGCAGCAGATCAAGAGGGAGCTGAGGTCCCTTTCCAATTATCAGATAAATAATGAAATTTTCCTATTACTTCCATGAACGCGCTTTAGGGCTACACAGAATGAAATATCATCTTTTGTGGGGTCATTCTTTAGTATATCACCAAGTGCTGCTTTTTTTGCCTTGAATTGACCTGTGACCACTGTATTCTTGTTATTTCTGTCTTTACACCTACTTTGCTATGATTACTCTTGACATATGACCTTTGCTTCTCTGTTGCTTCCAGTGATTGCATAGCCATAGTGATACTTCGTGAGAAGACTTAGAGACATGTCTGTTAGAACACTATCATCTGTGTGAGGGAGATAGAGCAATGTTGCTGATAGGCTGCCCTGCTTATTCCTGTAAATCTCATATGCTCTCGGAAAATACACGCACAAGTAACTGACTATAATGTCGAAAAATATATTCTAAACACTAAACGCTGTGTTCACTTTTGCAAAGGACTATAAAAGGTTGTTCTGCACCCACAGGAGAACTCAAACATCTATTAAGGGTAGCAAATGTTTCATGAGAACATGCAAAGTCTTTTGGACCCCCTGCCCCCCCCCCCCCCCCCACACACACACACACACACACACACACACGGTTCTGCAGGGAGAGCCTTGACTCAGCCTTGGCCTTGAGTGAAATGGAATGAAACAAATTTCTGAGCGAGAGCCAATCTGACTGAAAGATTGGAGGATATATAAACAAAAGAGGGAACAGGGCTCACGTATGTCTACTTTCAAGGTGCCTGCAAAAAAAGCTTTCCTCTTTTCAAATCCACCTGCTCCATTTACAGTACATTTGACTACAGGCTGGAGGATATGTGAGTGTGTGTTTTGTGTGGCATGCTTCAGCTAGCCCCTGATGTCAGCATGTTGGCAGTTTTCTTATCACTCCTTTGTGGTTGAAACGTTTCAGAAACTGAATCCTCTCTGTTTCTGCTTATTTTCGACAGAGAGCTCAGAAGAAGGCTTTCCTCACACCCCGACCTCCCTTCATCTTTCACCTGACAGCACTGACCGAGTGTCTGTATCAAGCCAACCAGATTCCAGTCACCCACTGGACTACCTATTTCTCTCACAGTGTGAGACAGGGAGTGTATGTAGGTATGTACAATGAGTAACACCTTTGACACAACACAAAATGACAGCAGTAGTTCATGTTTAACAAATACTGTGTTTTCATTTTTCCCCATATATGCAGAAATGAGAGCTTTTCAAACTCTGAGATCTCTCTAGAGCAGAAGTCGTCAGATGATGCTGCTGTCAGGGACATTGTCCCATCACCTCTTTACATCGACTCCTCTTCATCCTCCGTCTCTCACGCCAGCCCCAGTTCATCTGTTTTCCTCCATGGAAGGTTGTCTAACCTCCCTTTAAGCGCTCCATGCACCTCCATGGCTTTACCATCATCCTCTTCCTCTCCGCTACGTCACTGTGCCACAAGTGTCTTTCGGTTTGACAAGCCTTATTCTCCTGCATCGTTCGAGGCAACGAGCGACAGACAAACACCTCCTCCGCTGCCACCCAAGTCTAATCACCTGCCAGAGCAGCTCAGTGATGAAGGAGCTCATAGGCCGAGGGTAACGAATGCACAGCATTTCTCAAACCACACTGCATTACTTCTCCGGAGAACCTCTTTGTCAAGCCTGGACCATATCAGAACAGGTATGTCCTCTATAGGAAAGCAGTCTCATGGTATGCATGACACAAAAACTGAAAAAGCAGGGCCCAACAAAATTAATCATAATCATGGTGCTATTATGATGGTGCAGTATGCGGATTCATGCCAACAGTATCCAATTGTAAGGGTGGGGAATGTAAACTAATTTTTCAATCATACATCATTTTTTAGGAGATGCTGAAAGCAGATTGATGAGGAACAGGAGGCAGAGTCTTAATCTGGTAAGAGAATTATTAAATGCAGAAAAACTAAAACATTTGATCTTGCTAAAGGAATTAAAGGAATAATTTGACATTTTGTGAAATACACCTGTTTGCTTTTTTGCCGAGACTTGGATGAGAAGATTGATAGCGCTCTCATGTCTGCATGGAGACATTTAGATTAGCTTAGCTTGCCATTAAGACTGGAAACTGTATATATCACATCTGTAACATAGGCACAGTAACTTCCTGGAGTTTCTTCTGGAGCTAAAGCTATAGTTGAGCATGGATGGATTACTGGACTGGCCTACCGAGCACAGGCCCAGGGGCCCAAAGAGTCAGGGGCCCCTAGCCTTCACCTGCAAAATGTAACTCAATGAAACAAAATAACCAGAAAGAAACATCAAATGACAATTAAGAGACACAAACGACGATAAAAAGATGCAAAACAACCATAAAGAGGAACAAAATGACTACAAGGAGACAAAACACAACTAGAAAGACATGCAAAATGACCACATAACATATTCTCATCCCAGGTGGTTAAATACCAACACTTTCTCACGCCCCTTGGCATATGATACTTATGCTAAAGGCACCCTTTAGCATCTCTATTATACCTACCTTTTAGCATGTGTACTTGACACACAGCTGTCTTCAGGGTGAAGCACATTGTAGCATGTGGTTAATGTGGTCAAACAGTCGCATTTCAGTTCAGGCAACAAAAGTACTTGGTTAGGTTTAGAAAGAAAACCATGGTCTGAGTTTTGGTTTGACGACATGGGAATAAGAGCAAGCTGTACAAAAAGGGGCCAAACTGCCTGCAGACAAAAATACCAACAAAAAACAATTACAAAGTGACAGAAAATCAGCACTAAACCACAGACAGATGTATAACAACTACAAAGAGAAAAAAGCTGAACAACTCAAAAGTCTGCATGTCTTGCCCCTGTGTAGGAGAAGTGGTGGAGTCTCTTGCACGTCTGTGCCCACGCCCAGTGACCTATTGTCTCATAATCTGCTTGTGCGACCAGGACGTGTTTAGCTTAGCCTACCATACCTGAGAGTCACTGTGTCTGGTAAAGAAATAGTACATAATGGCACAGAATGAAACATAACCTCCCATGACTTTTTATTTTTTAAGCTCTGATTTTTGTCCAGATTAAGCAAACGTATATAATGTTAGTGAGCTTTAAAGGTGCTGGTAGGCAGATTCTGTACCGTTGGACAGAGCCAGGCTAGCTGTTTCCCTGGGTTTCCAGTCTTTGTGCTAAGCTAAGCTAAACAGCTTCTGGCTGTAGCTTCATATTTACTGCACAGACATCTAACTCATTAAAATGTCGGATTGGAAAGTTTTCTACTTTAGCACCCTGAGTGGTGGTATCATTTTCCTACAATAAAACATATGCCTTAAGAATAATTTTAAAGATGCTGTAAGCACATACAGGTTGCACACTGTGGTTTTAGCAAATGTTAGTTACAAAAATGGTGTGCTTGTCTCACCACATGATGCTCTGTCTTTCAGCAGCCTTTTTTAAATACCACACGAGTTCAGAGCTACCAGGATGAGTCATATGTCCCCATGGCTTCCCCGTCTCCCTCTGCTTCCACCACTGAATCTGATGGCTATATACCCATGAGCCCCGGGACACTCGCTTTCCTCAATACAAACTACAACGTTAAGTCCTCCGTGTCCCTCACCACACTAATGTGTCAACCTGGAGATCTCGCACCGCCTCCAATTCACCGCCACCTCAAGCCTCGCTTGAGGAGAGGTGAGAGTCATAACTGCCCAGACTGGTTCATGTTATGTTTTTTTTTGTGGAATACTAAGCTTTTATATCTACTCAGCTAATCAACTCTGTGACTGCGGGTCTTCATGATGTTTTTGATTATGTGGTCTTTATTATACTTAAAACATGATTTACAAATGTATAAAATGGATGAAAAGAATGACAGTTTAATTTTCAATTTTATGGCTATGATAATGAAATGTCAGTACAGGATTCAAATAGATATCAGATACACAGACTTTTCTGCACAATGATTTTTAATATGCGTCATCGTTTGAAAACTGACCTTTCCGTGGCACATTAGAGAATTACAACCAGTCCATTAACTTTGCCTTTTCTTGCAGCTCGACCTCCACCTCTTGACTTGAGAGGCCTCTCTACAATCACAGAATGTCCCACTCATCTTCCTTTGAGCAGAGCAATGACTGAATCATGGTGAGAGAAAAGGGCCTCTTTGTCCACAAAGTGTAATTGCAAGCTCTTGTGTTTTGGTTATGTGACTGTCATTTTGTTTAGATCTCATGAAAACTCAGATTTTACCTTAAAATTTTAACAACCTAAGTCTAATTTGTACCTTGGTTATGAATATGCTGACCCAGCTCAGGAAAAAATCCTGCTTCTCTGTTTCTATTTATAAACATTCCTAGTTGGTTGCTAATCTGACATAATTTCTGACTCTTTTTTATTGTGTAATTGCAGCTTTCCAGTGAACTGTTTACCTCTTGAAAGAAGACTTGAAAATGGGGGCAATCCGAGAGATGATGACACAAACTGCACGCCAATGGTAACCTTTGATAGTAGTGAAAACACAGTTTAATCAGAGCACATGTAATGTATACCACAGACTGACATGATCATTAATTATAATAATGCAAGCACCTCTCTATCAGAGACTGCACTTATCATAAATTTAGAGTAGTGACATCAATTCATCAAGTAATGTTTTTTTTTTCTGTTAGTTTCAATACCCCACTGTGGTAATGCAATGTGACCTGACAATGGATTTAGTTTTCCTTGGTCCTAGACCTAGACATTATGGGAAGTAGCTCTGATGATGACATAGCTTTACTGTGTGGCTCATTAAGTCAGCCCACCTCTTCACCTCCCTTTGTCATGTAGCTTGTATCAACATATGAATCATCCACTGTTCACTTAGAACTGGCTCCAATTTTTTTTTTTAAATGGCACTTTCCCCCACAAAATGCAAATCTATGTGTGATTACATTGTTTGTTCACATCTGCTGCCTAAACACTGCAAAGCAGTTTAAATCCATCATGTGGGCATGGATCCTTAAAACACTGCTGACATAAATATCTACAGTATGCAACCTAAACATGTTCCTAGAGATCAATATGGACTTAACTCTACTAGTTTTTGTTGTACAGAAGACTAGAAGAACTAAATCTGACATAATTGTAGGACTGTCTCTGAGTGAAAAAAAAATGTGCTTGAATCTCCACACAGCTAAGAATGTGGGTGTGGAAAATGACTGTGTGTTTCTAAAATATTCTGCTCAGAAAACTGTAATCACACTGGAGACCTTGCAGGGTGTGAGCATATTAAAACAGTGTGATGTACAAGGTTGTTCCTGGAAAGGGTGCATATTTAATTGATTTTCCTAGAATAAAGTCTGGAGAAAGGCATATTAGTCATGTAGGGGTGAGCTGGGCTCTTCTGTTGTTCAAAAACATGCTGACAGGCTGCAAGTGAATGCACTCTGAACACAAGTAGTTTCAATCTGATAAAGAGATAAAAAAAGATAAACAGTTTACTGATAATGCAGCCCATATGAAAATAGATTACAAGTATTTCAGATCATTTTTATCTTGGAACAGTTTTGAGTCATAGAGGTCTTCATCTATTTGTTTCTCTGACAGGAGTCAAGGAATCATTTCTGCCTCAACTTTGATGGAGCGGTTCAACCCTGGGCCAGACGATCGAACCTTGACTATCTGTCACTGGATTTCAATTCTGCATCCCCCTCTCCTGTGCAGAAGGTAGGTTTTGATCAGATAGATGACAGCAATGAACTGGCTTGTCATTTAAATAATAATAGTAATAACAACTAGAATATTTCACAAGAAATTTTGACTGGGTGTCTGCTACTGCTGAAACACATCATGAAATGTATACTATGATTTCGTGACAACCACGCAAGTTATCAGAATGCCTATTAGGCTCAATAAAGTCCCAAGTCTCATGAGCTGTTTAAACCTTAAATCGTGTTTCTATGTCAAAGTATGGCAATTTATTATGGTCCCAAAGTGGACTGGTTTTGAACTCTGTCCATGTCGGTTTCCCGTTATTTTCTATGGGGAAATTTATCACAGCTTTTTGTGATTTTTGTGAAACCACTTGGCAGTTCTCTGAGAAAAGTCATAGCTAACCTTTTCTGAGCATTCCACATGTTTTGATGTTTTTTTTGCAAATGCATTGGCAACACTGTGGAACATGTAGTGTGCCAAAAAAAATGCAGCGGAAGCCTAACAAATAATATATAGTGTGCCTTCTGTTGCACAACAGGCACCCTAAATAAAAGATAATATCTCCCATGTATAAGTACAGACTCAGTATTTTGTCCCATTGTCCAATTGAAGCTTCTGAAGACAGACTTCTTTATTTTTCTTAACTGGACAAGACTCTGATATTGTTGCTGTTACTTTTCAAATACTATCACTTCCTACCTACACCACCTGAATGCTACTAGCGGTGGATGTTGCTGAGGCATTCTGGGAAACAGAGGAAGTCACTGTCTGACGGGGACAGAGAACACCTAAAACTGCACTTTATTAAGCTCTGGCATTGTAAAAGATTTTACTTCAGACTTACTTAAAGGGACATTTCACCCCAAAACCAAAAATACACATTACATGTCTCCTCTTACCTGTTGTGTTATTTACTAATCTAGATTGTTTTTTTTTTTGTAAGTTGCCAAGTGTTGTAGATACCGGTCGTAGGGAAGTCTGCCTTCTTTCATATAATACAGAATAATATGATATAATGGAACTAGATGGAACTCTGCTTGTGGTGCTCAAGAGGCCAACATTTTTCATTTTTTTTAGAGACATATTAGCATTGTCCCTTTCCAGAAACCATGACCCAGTTACTCAAGATAATCCACAGACCTTGTTGTGAGCAGTTTCATAGGAACTATTTTCTTTCTACCAACCTGCACCCGCCAACCATATCACCACACAGAAGGAAGTGTGCATCTACTCGTGACTGACAGGCTTGTACTCATTAATGGCGTCCTCCTTGGCTGACCTGGAATATTAGCTAGCTCAGTGGTGCTAGGTAAGCCAGCAGTAGATGCACACTTCCCCCTGCACAGTGATCCCATTGACAAGTGTAGTTTGGTAGAAAGAAAATAGTTCCTACATGAAAATGCTCACAACAAGGTCTGTGGATTATCTTGAGTAACTGGGTCATGGTTTCTGGAAAGAGACATTGCTGTTGAGTTTTTCAAATATATTTTTTAAATCCTGTTGTTTCCCCTTCTCCACGAGCACCCGACACAAGATTTTGATCTACGTTTGTATATACAGAGCAGCCAGCCGAATCTCTCTTTATCTAAGCATTGTTTTGGCACTTTGTGCTAGAGTGCCATCTAGTTCCATAATAGTGGAGAGATAGCAGACATCTCTATGGCTGATATCCCCAACACTCTGGAACTCACACCAAATTAATCTAGACTGATAAATAACACAACAGTTAAGTATGTATGTATGTATGTATTTTTGATTTTGAGGTATATCATTACATTTTTCTTCACCTATTGGCTCCACTGACCCGCATTATTACAATTCAAATGACCAAATCAGTGCTCACTCAACGAGTAAAAATGCCATGTTGTGCACCTCACTTGAACAGAGAAATGGATGATTTAAGATATGATCCCAAACATTTGTACATCAAGAGTTCTACAGTACACTCAGGAGCATGATACATTAAGCGCAACAAGAGTGAGTGTTCTGCAAGTAAAGCAGAACCATGTTGATTTTGGAAACATATCACTCACTCTCCCCTCCTCTCTCGCTCTCTATGTCCAGCAGAAGCCCTTTCTGTCTGACGAGCACCGAGTGGATTACGTGCAGGTGGATGAGAAGAAGACTCAGGCGCTGCAAAACACCAAAATGGAGTGGACAGATGTCCGACAGTCAAAAACATAAATGGAACAAAAAATCAGGAACACTTGGTTTCAAGAAGACCAGCAATAACACCAGCAGGGAGGACATAACATGAAGAGGACCAAAAAACAATTTAAAAGCACTTTGAAAAACAGCACTGAAAAAAAGAGTACAAGAGTGAGTAAGCAGTTTGATGCTTGCTTGCGGGGCATAAATACAAAATTGCACTGTAAAACGTTCTCTCTCAGTAGATCTACACTGTAAATAATACCAGATTGTGCACTGTATCACAATGATTTTTACCGTAGCATTAAGTTTTCTCAAATCTTGAAAAGGGCATCATATTGCGTATTGTACAAAAACATGAGACTTGCTGTAAATGTATGTATATAGTTGTGTATAGAAGACAAATATTTTGATGATAAAACGTTTTTATATATGATTCTTTCCCACATTATGTACCGTAAACCAAAACAATCCATCCTGAGCTTTCTCCTTCTCTCGCTCCTTCTGTGACCTTCATATTGAAGTTGTTTTTTTACTTATTTTGGTACTTTGATTTCCCTCAAGTCATGGACACAGACATTGTTTCCTGTATACTGAGGTTTGAAAACTGAATCTTTGGTGATACTGATTTTAAGAGACTCTTCTTTTTGTGGCTTACCTTATCTGCCTCTATCTGGATATCACATCAATGAGTCTAGTTCAACAGAAGCAAACCATCATCAAACCACCTCTGTTGTCATAAACAAAATAAAAAAATTATACTGAAAAAATGTTGCTTTTTTGAACAAAAAGGCTGTTAAAAATGGTTCACAGATACCATTTATCCATTTACATTTTTTTCCCTTTCATTTTTAATTTATTGTGTTTTGGTTATTTATTTAATTATATTATGTCTTGTGTCTCATATCCGTCTCCCCCTGGCATTTTCTGACGTTTATGCTCTGATAAATAAATAAAGTTTACATTTTAAAAAAATTCTAAAAGGTGTTTTCCCCTATTTCACAGATGACACATCAATCAGATCAGGCTTTTTGCTAAATTTATATATATTTTGTTTGTACATTATCACATCATCATGAAATTTACTATGAAAACTGTTTGTCTTCTTTTCTCATGTTTTTTAAGAAACCAAATACCAAACAACCAAACATTTCCCAAAATGATATAAAAAAGGGTTTTGCCAGATTTTCTTTTTGTGAGAACAATGCCAAAATAGATGAAAACTGGTTCTGAATATTCACCACAGAAAGAGCAGTTTGTGTTTATGTCTTTTTCATCTATTAATGAATAATTTTGAAGGGCATCTCCTTGACCCTATTTGTGATAAGAGTATTTTTATTATTAAGGCAAATGACATACACAGCATATAGCAACATACAGCACAGAACATATATACATATGGGGGTCACATAGTTTTAGCTAGGCCTCCTTCTGGCCACCAATCCAGACTCGCCATTAGCATGTTAACTGATTCCCCCAAACAAGCACCAGAACATTAACACATATACAATAGCTACATACACACCCCCACACATCTCTACACATGATGTAATACATAAAACAGGTAAACACATGCTGACACACACAGACACACACACACACACACACAGACTCACATGCATACACAAATGTGCATTAAATAGGTACATGCACAGAGTTAGGTGAGTGTGCAAAAACAATTAACAGCACAAAGTTTAGGAAAATAAATTATAATATCAATAGTTAGCCTATAATTATTGCAATGGTAATGAAAGGAAATATTCATATAAGTATACAATAGATTATTCTTTATCAGCATAATGATACCATTGTGATAAGGTATTTATGAGATAGCATTCCCTTTTCCCTAGATTTACAGGCCGATTCCAATATGCCATGACATATGAAATGGAGAAATAGGGCAGGTTTGGCTCTATTGTCATTTTAGGAATGTAGTGAGAATTTTTTTTTTTTTTTTTTTTACTGGGGGTCAGCTGGGTTGGGGAAAGATATGTGTCTGGGTGCAGGCCTAACTACGCCCCTGAGAATTATTAAGATGCCTGTTGGAATGACATCAAAAACTACGGCAAAGTCACTGCAGGTTACTGGGACACTGTACATAAGAACAGGTGAACTATAGCCCTGGGGCAGCATGGTGGTCTAGTGGTTAGCACTGTCGCCTCACAGCAAGAGGGTTCCTGGTTCATTCCTAGGAGTTTGCATGTTCTCCCCATGTCAGCGTGGGTTTTTCTCCGGTACTCCGGCTTCCTCCAACAGTCCAAAGACATGCAGGTTGGGGTTAGGTAAATGGGTGACTCTAAATTGGCCGTAGGTGTGAATGTGAGTGTGAATGGTTGTCTGTCTCTACATGTCAGTCTTGCAATAGTCTGGCGACCTGTCCGGGGTGAACCCTGCCTCTCACCCAATATCAGCTGGGATAGGCTCCAGCCCCCCTGCAACCCCCAAGATTACGAAAATGGATGGATGAATGGAACAATAGCGCGCTGCACTTGAGTAATTGACTCCCCAGCAGACTCTGATTCTAAAACCATATCAAAAAAAGAAAGTGATTTTGGTTGTAAGCAAGATGTCCCTATTATTCCAAATAAGACAACTGTATAATGAGAAGTTGTGCTTATATATTAGAGACCAAGCCAAAGGGACTTGTGTATGGAATACAGATTTACAGACACACAAATTCACAGGGAGTCTGTCTACATTATAATTTCAACTTAATATAAGTCTCAGGCCACCAAAGTCAAAGAAAATGTAATAGGAAATGAAATTACAGATTTTTTTTTTAAAGAAATGCTTAGCCCAGGTAATTGTAAAGGTATTATTTGGGGTGCTAAAATCCAGGAAATTAAGCACCCAAATTCATAATTATTCATCACAACACAGTAACAAATATAATTTGATAGGCTAAACTTTTCCAGATGAAGTTAAAGAGCATCTGGTCAACAGCTTCACTGATTTTATTGTCAACATGTAAACAAAGAGCTGCATATTTGAGCTGAGAAATTCATTCAGCCTTAAATAAAAAAATACTCTACCTTTCAAGGTCAGATCTCTTTGTACCCACCAATTCAGTTTCCTCTGAGTGATTAGAATAACAGGAGTGAATTGTTATTATCATGTTATAAAGCACACGTTACACACGTGTTGCGTCACAAGCGTGCGCCGAGAGGAGAGTCACGAAAGGAGATTTGGGTAATTACCTGAGAAGTCGGGAGAGGAAGTCATCATCATCCAGCATCTAAACGCTGGCTTTTTGTGAACATCCCAGTGAAAATCAGCATGCGTGGCTAAACTACACACATTAATGTAACACCTGTGTAGTCGGTGTGCATGTTTACACCAGACTGTGTTGCTGCGGTGAGATTTAACGTTACAAACCGTTAGCAAGTGTCCGACTCACAGTGCAGCCACTAACTGCAGGACAAACACTGGTGAGTGGGGTTAACGTTGTTAGCAAGCACCCCAGCTAGCTAACGGTGGCTGGGAACAAATGAAACCGTGTCTGGTGAAAGCTACTCCGGGGCCCGAGGCGACCACACGCTAAATGCAGTGACTCAAAGTTAAAGTTAGCTTTAGCAGACACCATGCTCTGAGAGGTGACTTCGTCTCCTGGTCGACAAACCAACACCAGCTCCGTGCTGCAACATTTGGGCTTTAGCTGGTAAGTTTGTTTACCTACGACTCTGTTAGCTCCATCGGCACAGTGTGCTAATGTGGCGTTTAGTTTGGCTGCACATGTAAACTGCCGTCTCACACCAGCTCTGTTAGCTGGGCTGAGGTCAACGTTAGTTTAAGTGTCTATTATTTATATGCTAAGGCAAATATTTTAAGTACATATTTGACTTTTCTTTGATCCACCTTCCACCGCTGGTCTGAATGGTGGTGGCAGAGCGACCTGAACATCTGTAGCCTGTTGCGTTATCACCTGGGCTTTCACATTAAATTAGAAGTTACAGTATCACGAGTTTAACTTTATGTCTAACATTAAATCAGTCACTTAAGTTGTTGCAGAAATGCAATGGATAGCTTTACTTAAGTCTGTCTCTATCATCTCTGGCGTGCACGTTAGTTTAGATGTGTATGACTGTAATGTTGACTTTATTGGTTTATTTTAGTTTTATTCTCACACAAATCAATATATAGGTAACGTACTTGCAGAAATATATATAAAAGCTCACAAATGTTCCACACAAAGATAATAGATTGAGTATTATGTATATGCAAAGATGAAAAATCAAAACTAAATGACAAAAAACCCCAATCAAAACAATGCACTAAATTGCTTAGGCCTATATGCGTTAGATTGATGATGTAAAGGAATTTAAAGTATCACTTCACCCACAAAAAAAATGACCATTTGTAAATCACTTATTAATGCAGTGTTGCCTAGATTTTGCATGCCTCCATGGAGAATAGCTAAGGTATTGATTTATTGATTGATTGGGAACACATGCATTTTCACTAAAATCCTTAGTATTGTAGTTTGGCTTTGCAAAGAACATACTTTCAGTTTACAATTTCAGTTCAGTTTTAGATAGTAAGGTTTTTGTGAAAATGCATGCGTTTGTGAAGAACTGAGCATACGACTAGATAAATGAGACTATTATACTGCACCGGTTGTGTGAGAGTTTGAAAGCAGATGTTTTGATAAAGTTTTGTTGATGTTAAAAGTGGTCCTCAATCAATTTGGTTACCATTTCTATGAAGACATGCAAGAAAAAGTTTTCTTCACAAATTCAAGGTTACATGGTAGGACTAATTGATTAACAAATCATCATTTTATGGATGAAGTATTCCTCTAAGCTCATTTCACTGCTCTGTAGTTTTGCAGATAGGGCACAGTTTTTAATTTTTGTTTTACCTATTAACCAGAGTCCTGGCCAAAGTGGCATGACAATTGATATTGCACAAATGTTCTTGCGTTTATTTATATGGCTTTTGTTGACAAAAGAAGGGCTCACATATCTTAATAGAGATTGTGCTTACTTGGATCTAATTCAGCAACAGCCAATGTCAAAGAATAATGCAGCAAAATAACAAAGAAATACATAAAAAAAAACCACACACAGCGGCCACAGCGGATAGACACCAGGGCAGGTTACATGCAAGTGAAAAAAAACACAGAGGCATAAAAAAATGTGTGCAGTCAGGAAAGTAGGGCTCCACAATTAATTGAAACAGTATCAAAATCACAGTATGGCCAAATGCAATATCCAAATCGCAAGAGCTGCAACTTTTGTGTTAAAGGTAAAATGTGTCTCAACATATCATTATATATGAAGCATTGTGGTGCAGTGGAGATGCCCTGGTCTACAAATCATATTTTAAGTGTAAGGGAACATACTCAATTGGTACATAACCCAGCAAAAATCACATTGTCGTATTTCATGAAATGCAAAAATCACCATTCCCAATAAAATTGTGACTAATAAAACAATATCTGTCAAAATAATCGCAATCTGATATTTTTTGCATGTTGTGCAGCTCTACAGGAAAATCAGGGGTTTTATTCACTTCAGGTGAAAATATGATGTGAAATACTGTTCAAAGTCTTAATTGTGAATGCTTCATATCAGTGTGACAGATGTTAAATTTTAATCGATCATGATTTTGGTCTCAACTTTCTCAGTACAGGTCTCATATCAGATGGAGGACAAAGTCACTGCAGCGATCCAATCAGCTGATTTAGAACATTCAGCTACTATGCCTTCCGTTGGACTACTTTTGTAAACGTGGCAGCCATGGCTTCTTGTAAGGTAGACGAGCTACCAAGTGACACTAAGAATTCGGCTTCAGCCTCTGCACAGCTTTCCCGATGTGGCCCTGATGACATCACGGAAGAGCCTCAGCCAGATACGAGGAATGCTGCCGTGAAATCCCAGAAATCCGGAAAATTCAGGAGGACTGCCCTGACATTTTTTGGAGTTCGTAAAGGTATCTGTATTTTACCAAGTT